GGGTTGTTAACCAATGTTATAAAACAATATGTATACTGACTATTTAATGAGAAACTATTTGTTCTGTAAGCCTTCATCTAAAGTACAATAAAAAATATACATATAAAAAAAAAAACCAGATTTACTGGCCTGATAGAGACTGGAGAAACCCCGAGAGTATGGCCCTCGGACATCCTTTTAGCTCAGTAATGAAGTCATTCCCGAGGTTCACTGTTCAGCCAAAGATTAGACAGCCCCATAAAACATAACGAGACTAATAGGGCACAACAGCCTGGGGACAAGGACTAGAAGGCAGGAGGGGACAGGAAAGCTGCTAATAGGGAACCCAAGGTTGAGAAGGGACAGTGTTAACATGTCATGGGGTTGTTCACCACTGCCATAAAACAATATATGTGCTAACCATTTAAAGACAAACTCTTCTGTAAACCTTCATCTAAAGTACAGTTAAAAAAAAAAAAAAGAAAAAAAGACTACAACCAAGAAAACCCTCTGGGGCAGCTCTACGCTGTCACATGGGGTCACTATGAACTGAAACTGATGCAATGGCAACCAACAACAACAACATGGCATAGTTGTTGCAACAGAGAGAAAATTTACTATCTGGCCATTTAAGAAAGTTTGCCGATTCCTGATGTAGACTGTGAGCACCGAGGGCTGGACTGGGCGTGGTGAGCTCTCCCCGTGTCCTCAGCTCCCAGTGGTGCCTGTCCTTAAACCACTGAGACAGTGCTGACACATTCACGTTAAGTGTTTCACACAGATTACCTTATGAAATCTTACAACCACCAATGAGGTGAACTCTTAGCTCCATTTTGTGAAGGAGGAAATTGAGGCACAGAGAGTAACTAGCCCCTAGTCACATGGTTTGGAAGTGGCAAAGCTGGGCTTAGAAAACCCAGTAGTATGCTTCCAGAACCCACACACTGAGCCACAAGCCCTTGATCGCCTCTCTTGGAGGCACAGAATGAATGAATGTGCCAGACAAATGAGTAAATGATGAATGAGTGAAGGCCCAAGCACCCTCTGAAGGGTGCCCCTGCTGGCCCCACACAGCCCAGCTTACTGCTCCTGGATCTCCGGCTCACTCGCCATGTGGATGTGGGCCAGCAACGTGATTGCTCTGAGTCTCAGTCACCTCCGCTGACAATGGGGACAATAGTTGTCTGCACCTTGTGGTGCTACTGGAAGGCTTCACTCAGGATGCACTTTCACATGTTCAATGGTTATTGAGCATCTGCTCTGTGAGTCCTGTGCTGGGGACACAGCTGGGAAGGGGCCAGACCCTGTCCCTACCCTCGTGGAGCTCACGCCCCACGTGTGCTGGCATACGGGACATTCAGCTGGGGACTGACTGCAGTAAGCACTCAGTAGATGTCAGCTTTTATCATTTCCATGCGGGCCGCTGGTACATCCGGGAATCCAGCAGGGTAGCCAAGCCAGCAGCAGTGAGGCCTGGGGTGGGGGCTCGGTGTGAACCCCCACGCACTGACTGACCCTGCTCCAAAACTCAGGATCCTCCCCCATTAGACAAGGGAGATGGTGCGTAGGCCGCCCCCTCTCAGGGGTCCTGGAAGATTTGCTCTGTCAGGGACACCTGGGGCCGGCAGGGTCCATGTGGGCTCACTTACCAATGCGCTCGATCCTTGTCACATCGCGAATCTCCGGGACCTTGGTTGTGGCCGTCTGAGGGTGCAAGAAGATGCATCAGGAGAGCCTCGTGGTCCCAGCTTGTACCAACTGCTCCTGTCCCTCCCCAACTCCCATGAGAAAGTCCTTTCCACTCCGTCCCCTCCCAGACATGCTGGCTGCTCAGCTACCAGGCACTCTCATCCTCCCCACTGTCGGCCACTAGCGCTGGATGGTCAGTCCCTCACACCAGGAGTCCCCAAGAAGACAAGGACTGTGTCTCTCTCACTCATCACTCTGTTCCCATATACTAAGTGCTCAGAAATTACTGGTGAATCAGTGAACACAGTCCCCTCCCTCCCCACACAACTGGGAGCTCCTGAAGGACAGAGACCAACACAAAGCAGGTATCAGGCTGTACACAGTCTGGCTCCTGCTGACTTCTCAGCCTGATTTTTGGAAGTAGATCGCCAGGCCTTTCTTCAAAGGAGCCTGTAGGTAGACCTGAACTTCCAACCTTTCAGTTAGCAGCTGAGTGTGTTAACTGTTTGCACTACCCCAAACCAAAACCAAATTCGTTGCCGTCAAGTAGATTACGACTCATTGCAACCTTATTGCACCAGCCAGGGACTCCAAAAAAGAGACAAGGATCCAAGAATCCCAAACTTAGCTCCACCAATATAAATACATCTCTTCCCACAGACCACCTCCCACCAGGTCGTTTCCTTTCACCTTAAACATCTTCTGCATCCTGATGCCCATTGTTGTTGCTCTTGGGTGCCACTGAGTCAATTCCGACTCATAATGACCCCATGTGACAGAGGAGAACTGCCCCATAGGGGTTTCTAGCTTGTAATTTTTACAGGAACAGATAGCTAGGTCTTTTCTTCCTCAGGGCCACTTAACCATTGCACTACCAGGGCTCCTTTGATGCCCACTGGTCCCATGGAAACCAAGGTCATTTTAAAATTCACGTATTGAAAAATCAGCCATTGAAAACCCTATGGAGCACAGTTCTACTGTAACATACCGTGACATTAGCCATGTGTCAGCGTGGACTCTATGGCATCTGGTTTGTCTCTTTTTTGCCTTAGGCAGAGTTTGAATGGGCTGGGTATCCCTCGGCCCAAACTTCCAATACTGTCTCTGCATCCAGGGGAAATGGGTCTCAGGAGTTTCCAGCCCTTGTCCTTTCCTTTCCATCCCCTTGTCATAACAGCAGCAGCAGACTCAAATGCTGCCCCCTAGCTGCCAGCAACTCTGACTCCCATCCTTCCCCTATCTTGACTGAAAGCTCAGCCCAACCCTCAACCTCAAGCCACATTCCTTCTTCGTTCAAACCGTTTCTCAAGCAGGTACCTGGTGCCAGGTCCAGTGCACCTAGTCTCTCCTTCATGGAGTTTGCATTCATTCATTCAAACAGTCCAAAGATTATTGCACTGTATAAGGTATTGGAAATACGAAAATGGCCAAAACGTTCCCATGACAAGATCTGCAGCCTCTGAGCCCTAGTCCTTTCCTCCTCCTCACTGACACCCTTGTGGTTCACAACACTGTCTCTATTGGCTCAAGGCTCACTAAGAGACTCCACACTCTCAAGCACACAAAAAAGGATCCTAGCCTATACATCTCCCTTGGAACTCAGAGCCATTTGCATGAATCAAAAACCCAAGGCTCTCAGATGGACTGGAAGCCCAGGACACTACAACCCTCATCAGACTTTGGGGCAAAGGACTGCATAACTGGTCTTTGATACTCCCTAGAGAATTCTGAGAGTTGGAATTCCCACAGCAATGATGGAGTCAGATCTGACCACTGAGGCCATTAATATCTACTTCAACCCAAGATTCCGGGATCCCAGCCCCTTCTTTTTCTCTTCCTTCAGACCCAGGAGTCCGGGCCCTCAGGCCTCTCCTCCCTTAGATCCAGATGTCCAGGGCCCTAGTCCCTCTTCTCTTAGATCCAGGAGTCCGGACCCCCGGCTCTCTCCTCCGTCACACCCAGGAGTCCGGGCCTCCCGCCTCCTCCTCCCTCAGACCCAAGAGTCTGGGACCCCGGCTCCTGCTCCCTCAGACCCAGGAGTCCAGGCCCCGAGCCTCCTCCTCCCGCAGACCCAGGAGTCCGGGCCTCGAGCCTCCTCCTCCCTCCGACCCAGGACTCCAGGCCCGCTTCCTCAGATCCAGGAGTCTGGACCCCCAACCCCCTCCTCCCTCAGACCCAGCAGTCCCGGCCCCGAGCCCCCTCCTCCCTCAAACTCAGGGTTGCGGGTTCGCTCCCCATGCTCCAGTCCTTACCACGGTTGCCATAATGCTCACTAACCGCCAACTTCCCAGCGGAAACGGAAACGCGCTAGGAGCGAGGAGTTCTGGCCCCTCTAGGCTTTCAGGTCGTCCAAAGGTCTCGGTAGTTCCTCATAAATATGCAAACTCTCCTTGGAGGGGGCGTGGCGTCACGTTTTCGGCCCCTCCCATCCACCGAAGCTGAGCGGAGGACGGGTGTCCGGAACTTCTGGGTCTGTTTCCAACGCCTCCTGGCTCCTCCTCCTTTTACGCACCCCTCATTGCTGAGGTCGATTGCAAAATTCTTAACACTTCTTAGAGCGACCACACGTCCTCCACGCTCCCTTTCCTCCTTATCCCACCCTCCCTCCGTCCTTCCCCAACCTTGGGACCGCAAGCTTCAGACTGACAGACGTGTGGGCCAATCGATTCTGTTAAGCGCAGCAATAAGCCCCGCCCCCTGAAGCTCGAGGTAACTGCTAAGGCCGTGGAGGTACGAAGCGAGACCCGCTCTGTCCACCAAAGAGGAGACGCAGAGCCCCGCCCCCGGGAGCAGGCCAATAGGGTTGGCCGGGAGGCGGGCACCGCCTCCTGGCAGTTGCAAGGTTTCACTGCAGGGAAGCGTCAGGCTCAGTGACTCTGCGGCCGCCGCCAGCCTAGGTCGGAACGCTGCGGAGCGGGGGGGTGGTGCTGTCGTGCAATAGGAAGCCGAGAGTATTGCAGGCTTCTCGCTGGGCACCAGCTTCCTGGTCCCTCGCCCCGCCCGGTGCTTTTCCCGGACACCTCCGGGGCCCCCACCTGTGGCCCCTGGAGTCCCTTTCCCACGCCGACCATGCCACTAAGCCGCAGTTTGTCCATGTCCTCACTGCCAGGACTGGAGGACTGGGAGGATGAGTTCGACCTGGAGAACACGGTGCTCTTCGAGGTGGCCTGGGAGGTGGCCAACAAGGGTGAGCGCACCAGGCTCCCGGGCCCCGGACGGGAAGGGCAGTCGGGGATGGGGGCCCGGAGCTCTGCGGCGTAGGGGGACGGAGTTAGGTGACGTGACTCTCGGGTCCTGGGCAAGAAGCCTATGACTCCTATGTCCTTGAGAGGCTCGGATATGTCTCCTGGGCCCTGGGGGGAGAGATAGGTCGCTTGACTATTAAGATGAAAGGAGGCTGGAGCCCAGGTCCCGGGTCTTAGGAGGAGGGGGTTAAAATGATAGATTTCTAGGTCCTGAAGTTCGGCTTTTGAGAGACCTGAACAGCGAGGGGGCTGGGAAAAGGGGCTTCCGCGTGCAAACCTGGGAAATGTGTAGGGTTTCAGACCCTTGGTCCAGGGGGAAGGGACTAAGTGATGTAACCCCGGATTTGGGGAAGATGCATAAATTTTGGTAAGGGGATCTGGGGAACTGGCAGCTTGAGAGTAAGATGGGAGGGGGTTAGCGGCCCAAATTCTTAGATTCTAGGATGGAAGAGCATTGGGGACCTGGAATCCTGGGTTCTGAAGGAGCCAAGGGCCTGTGCTATGGGTTCCTAGGAGTAGAGAAGCCTGTGGCCTTGGACACATGCATACCGCAACCGGGAAGGATTGGGAAGTCCTAAGCTGGTCAGGGGCTGGACCCTAGGATGGGAGTGGCTGAGAGCCTGAATTTCTGTCTCCTGGGTTTCCAAGGGCCTGAGGTTCTGGGTTTGGAGAAGGCTGAGGCTGGAATCCTAGGAGCTCGGTGATCTGGCTCCTCAGAAGGGAGGAGAGGGCTGCGGCGGGGGGCGGTTGCTTTCCGGGTCTTGGGGGAGAAAGCGACTAGGTCTCCTACCATGGGAGGGGGCTGGTGAACACAGAGTCATGTGTTGCTAGGGCCTGGGCTCCAGGCAGTCCCTGGGTCTGGGCTGGAGTCATTGGAGGAGCAGGGTCCCAGATTCCTGGGTCCCCAGTCCAGGAGAGGAGACTGGGGGACAGGTTGGCAGGGCCCCTAGGGGGATGGGGAATGACTATTCAGGCTTCTCTTGGACAACCATGGGGATCTGAATGGGGCCATGAAGAGGGATTCTCAATCCCCCTGTGTTCTGGAGCATGACTGAGAATTTAAACACAGTTCCTGTAAACTGGGAACTCAAGGAAACCTATGCCCTGGGAATCTTCAGCTTCTGGCATCCTTGGGACCCCAGATCTTAATTCCTCCAGATGCAGGAGGCCGGATCTACAGCTCCTTCTTCCCTCTGATCCAGATGCCTGGGTCCCAAGCCCCTTCTTCCTTCAGATCCAGGAGCCCAGCCCTTAGCTCCCGCCTCCCTCAGACCCAGGAGTCAGAGCCTCCAGCTCCCTCCCCGCTCAGACCCAGGAGTCAGGGCCCCTGGCCCCCTCCTCCTTCAGACCCAGAAGCCCAGACCCCAGCCCCTTCCTCTCTCTGACTTGGGGGTCTGGCCTCCTAGCCCCCTCTTCCCCCTGCCCCAGGGACCTAGGTCCCCAGTGCCAGTGCCCCCTCACCCCCCTACCCCGCCCCAGGTCCCAGACCTCCAGACCTCAGTCGGTTGGGGCCTGTCCTCATGAACTTGGGCCTACAGTGGGTGGCATCTACACGGTGCTGCAGACGAAGGCCAAGGTGACAGGGGATGAGTGGGGTGACAACTACTACCTGGTGGGGCCATACACGGAGCAGGGAGTGAGGACCCAGGTGGAACTTCTCGAGCCCCCCACCCCGGCCCTGAAGAGGACCCTGGACTCCATGAACAGCAAGGGCTGCAAGGTGGGACATGGTCTGGCTGAGGGTGGGTGGGAGGCCCCCCAGTCAGGGTGGGTGCAGCAGACGGAGAAGGGGAAGGACATAGACAGCTTCAGGGAGGGAGGGACAGAAGGTCAGAGACACGGGATGACCCAGCACTTTCCCAGGCAGACACGGAGGAGGAAAGGTTGATAGATGTTCAGGTGGATGCAGGACCCCAGAAGTGTGTGGGTGAACCCCAGGATCTAAGACATTGGTGGATGGAGAGATGAACTATGGGTACAAGTCAGACTGAGAGATGGGTCCAAGAGGCAGAGATGTCAGACCCAGAGAAAGAGCCAGATGGACAGCCAGACACAGCCTGGGTCAGACAGGTGTGCAAGAGCCCAGGTTCCAGAGCATGAAGTTCAAATTAGGCTTCTCCACTTCCTGGCCATGTGAACTTGGCTAATGGACATGTCAATAGCATCCACATTATAGGCTTGTTGGGAGAATGAAATAGTTAATCATTATAAAGTCTTTAGCAGAGTTCCTGGTACCAAGCTAGTGCACGTGTGAGCTATTATCATCATGGTTATTATTATCAGCAGCAGCACTATTACTGTAAACAGCCAAGCTTGGAGGGTGAGATGGACAGGCAGACAGAAGGAGAAAGACAGCCAGACAGACAGAGTGTCCCAAGAGGTGATGATGGCCCCAGGGGCTCACTTGGTAGATAGATAGATGTTTTCAGAGAGAAAGTCAGATCTAGAAGGAGGGAGAAAGAGGGAATAGCAACCAAGAGAGTTGAGGTAGATAAACAGACCCAGGGGAGAGAGTCTGGGATGGACAGAGAGGCAATCTAGGGGTTAAAGAGAGGAGGAGAGAGGCCCAGAGCCCCCGGATAGGCACTGAAGGATGAGCACAGAAAGAGTTCCAGGAGAGGGCCTGATTTAGGAGGGTGAAGGCAAAGACCGGAATCGGGGTCAGGGAGGGACAAATACAGCAGTTCTTTCATTCATTCACAGCCTCTGGTTTGGGGTGGGGTCTGGAGTCCAGTCAGGCCAGACAGTGTCCCTAGGGGACCCCAGGGCAGGCTAGTCCCTCCCCCAGGGCAGCTGCTTCCCACATGCTGGGGGCCTAAGAATAGGCCCCCCAGCAAAAGGGCAGACAACAGCTGGGAGGGGGAAGGGCCTCCAGGTCAGGCTCCCCTGGCAAGGAAGAGCTAGGTTGCGGAGGAGTGTGACTGCTTGGCAGCTGGGGAGAACTGTGGCCACAGGCCCAGAGCCAAGGCCACAGTCTCAGGAGGAAAGCAGCAGATTGGAGACATGTGGCAAGGGCAGAAATGAGACAGCAAGGATTAGAAACGTGGCAGCGGGTAGGAAAATGCAGGCCAGCGACATGGAAACAGGGCAGGCAGTGTTAAAAATGTGACTGCAGAGTGCAAAATGGGCCTATGGGCAAGGAAAAGAGGCAGCAGGTAACGAACACATGGCAAAAGGGACAGAAACTCAAGGCTGAGGGGTGGAAGAAATGTGGTAGCAAGAACAGTAAAAGTGGAAGAAACGACCAGTAGGAGGAACTAGTAGCAGAAAGAACACACTTTGGGAGAAAGCGGTGTAGCAGTAGGTGAGAGAAATGTGCCAACAAGCACAAAAATAAGGCAGCGGGTAGGAAAAACTATAGAAACCGGTTGGCATTGAGTCGGTTTGCACTCATGGTGACCCAACGTGTGTCAGAGTAGAACTGTGCTCCACAGAGTTTTCAATGGCTGATTTTTCAGAAGTAGATTGCCAGGCCTTTCTTCCGAGGTGCCTCCGGGTAGACCTGAACCACCAACCTTTCGGCCGAGCACGTTAACCATTTACACCACCTAGGGGCTCCAGGAGAAACTATTAGCGTGATGGAAAAACAAGGCAGGCAGTGGAGGCACAGAAACAAGATGCAGGAAATATGTGGCTGTAAGTAGAGAAAGAAGGCAGCAGATGAGAGAAGGGTAGCAGTTATAGAAACAAAACAAGGTTGGGGAAAATGTTGCAACTGAGATGGAAAAAGATTCTGGTGGGAAAAACTAGCAGCAAACAGAGAAATAAGGCAGCGGGTGAGAAGTAGCAGCAGATACAGACATTAGCCTGCAGATAGGAGACCCGCAAATGTTGGTCGCAGAGACGTGTAGCAGAAGCCTCGAACCTCTCTGTGGGTCTCCCCAGGTGTATTTTGGGCGCTGGCTGATCGAGGGGGGGCCCCTGGTGGTGCTCCTGGACGTGGGGGCCTCAGCCTGGGCCCTGGAGCGCTGGAAGGGGGAGCTCTGGGACACCTGCAACATCGGGGTGCCATGGTACGACCGTGAGGCCAACGACGCTGTCCTCTTTGGCTTCCTCACCACCTGGTTCCTGGGTGAGGTAGGCCCCACTGACCAGCCCAGACACTAAACTTCCATCAGTCCCTGGGTCAGAGGGTGGCTGGATGGGCTTCCCCAGGACATTCTGGTCTGTAGGTCTTTTAATCCTAGGATTAGCTTTGACCTTTGGGTACATGGACATCCAGAGGCCCAGCCTCTTCTTTCCTCATAGACTGAAATTCCCAACCCCAGCTTCATTCATGCCAGTCTTCCAGTTATATGGCTTCTGAGTTATTAGCTCTTAGGGAGGGGTGATGCAGGGAATTCTGGGGATTGTAGTTCTCTAGTGTGATATCAACCAACAGAAACAAATCCGTATTTGTGCCTATTCCAAAGGAAGTCTTCCAATTGAATGCAGAAATTATCAAACAATATCATTAATATCACATGCAAGTACAATTTTGCTGAAGATAATTCAAAAAATGTTGCAGCAGTACATCAACAGGGAACTATGAGAAATTCAAGCCGGATTCCGTAGAGGATGTGGAACAAGGGATATCATTGCTGATGTCAGATGGATCTTGGGCTGAAAGAACATAACACAAGAAAGATGTTTACCTGTGTTTTAGTGACTCTGCAAATGCATTTGACTGTTTGGATCATAATAAATTATGAATAACATTGTGAAAAATGAGAATTCCAGAACACTTAATTGTACTCATGCAGAACCTGTACATAGACCAAGAGACAGTTATTCGAACAAAACAAGGGGATACTATGTGGTTAAAAATCAGGAAATGTGTGCATCAGGGTTGTATAACTTCACCATACTTATTCAATCTGCATACTGCACAAATACTCCAAGAAGCTGGATTATATGAAGAAGAACGCAGCATCAGGATTGGAGGAAGACTCATTAACAACCTGTGATATGCAGATGACAAATCCTGCTTGCCGAAAGTGTAGAGGATTTGAAGCACTTACTGAAGAAAATCAAAGATTACATCCTCCAATATGGATTGCACCCCAAAATAAAACAAAAATCCTCACAACTGGACCAACATCATGATAGATGGAGAAAATATTGAAGTTGTCAAGGATTTCATTTTACTTGGATCCACAATCAATGCCCGTGGAAGCGGCAGTCAAGAAATCAAACAACATATTGCATTGGGCAAATCTGTTGCAAAAGACCTCTAAAGTGTTAAAAAGCAAAGATGTCACTTTGAGGTGTAAGGTGCACCTGACCCAAGTCATGGTATTTTCAGTCACCTCATATGCATGCAAAAGCTGGACAGTGAGTAAGAAACCCTGAAGAAGAATTGATGCCTTTTAATTATGATATTGGCAAAGAATATTGAATATACCATGGACTGCCAGAAGAACAAACAAATCTGTCTTAGAAGTACAGCCAGAATGCTCCTTAGAAGCAAGGATGGCAAGACTTCATTTCATGTACTTTGGACACGTTATCAGGAGGTGCCAGTCCCTGAGAAGCACATCATGCTTGGTGAAGTGGAGGGTCAGAGAAAAAGAGGAAGACCCTCAATGAGATGGATGGACACAGTGGCTGCAACAGTGAGCTCAAACATAGCAACGATTGTGAGGATGGTACAGGACCAGGCAGCATTTTGTTCTGTTGTACATGGGGTCGCTATGGGCCAGAACTAACTCAGAACAGACTTGACGGCATCTAACAAGTGTGATATCGACTGAATGTAACCTCTCAGATGGAACCTTAAATGTTTGGGGACACCCCCCACCAAGCCTATCTGAGAATAATAAATTAGGGTTCTCGCATCCTTCTAGGTTTTAAAAGACTTAAAAACTTCATTTCCCATGCCCTGGGACAGTTACTGAACTGGCTGCTCCTTGGACATTCTGGGAGTTGTAGTTTTTTTTTTTGCCAGTGCTGCCTGTAGAAGTATGATCTTGATTGAGATAAACGATATCACAGAATTGTGTCTAGGACTTGGGAACACTAAAAGTTCAGTCTTTTCAGTTCAAACCTGCCACAACTTAGAAGGCCTTGGCCAAAGAAATGCCAACTCCCGTCAGCCTCTGGAACTGCCTTGTCTAACGGGGATCTCTGTAGTGGGCAGCCTTCCATTCCACCCACTTAGTGGTGATGGATTTACCTCTCCCCTGCTCCCTTGTCCACACTGGGGATTGCCAGTTCTCTTGATGACACACATGGAGACATAGTGCCCTTGTCTGTGTTTCCACAGTTTCTGGCCCAGAGTGAGGAGAAGCCACATATTGTTGCACACTTTCACGAGTGGTTGGCGGGCGTCGGGCTTTGCCTGTGCCGAGCCAGGCGGCTGCCCGTGGCTACCATCTTTACCACCCATGCCACGCTGCTGGGGCGTTACCTGTGTGCTGGTGCTGTGGACTTCTACAACAACCTGGAGAATGTGAGCTAGGAGTGTAGCAGATGGGGGAGGTGGTGCGTGAGTATTCCAGGACAGCCCAAACTCTGGGAAGCCCAAGAGGATCAATCGAGCTTTTCTCCTGGGACCCAGGAGTCTAGGCTCTTATCCTCCTCCTCCCTTAGACCCAGGAGTCCAGGCCCCAGCTCCCTCCTCTCTCAGACCCAGGAGTCCAGCCCCCAGCCCCCTCCTCCCTCAGACCTAGCAGTACAAGTCCCCAGCCCCTACTCCCTCAGACCCAGGATTCAGGCCCCCATCCCTGTCTGCCCTCAGACCCAGGAGTCCAGGCCCCTTGCCCCCTCCACCTTCAGACTTAGGAGTCCAGGCCCCAGGCCCCTCCTACCTCAGACCCAGGAGTCCAGGCCCCCAGCCCCCTCTTACCTCAGACCCAGGAGTCCAGGCCCCCAGCCCCCTCTTACCTCAGACCCAGGAGTCCAAGCCTCCAGCCCCAGGCTCCCCTAGGACCCTGGAGTCTGGACAGCCAGTCTTCTCTTCCTCAGTCCTCCTAAACTAACTAGTCTCCCCTTCCCACCCAGTTCAATGTGGACAACGAAGCAGGTGAGAGGCAGATTTATCACCGCTACTGCATGGAGCGAGCGGCCACCCACTGTGCTCATGTCTTCACTACTGTCTCCCAGATCACTGCCATCGAGGCTCAGCACCTCCTCAAGAGGAAACCAGGTAGGGGCTGGGCTGGGGTTCTTAGTCATGAATGGGGTAGGCCACTGTCTCTGTCAAGGCTGTTAGGTGCCATTGAGTCAGCTCTGACTCATAGCAGCCTTTTGTATAACAGCGAAATGTTGCCTGGTCCTGCGCCATCCTCACAGTCATTGCTATGTTTGAGCCCATTGTTGTGGCCTCTGTGTCAGTCCATCTCCTTGAGGGTATCTCTCTTGTTTGATGACTCTCTACTTTACCAAGCTTGATGTCCTTCTCCAGTGATCAGTCCGTCCTGATGATGTGTCCAAAGTAAGCAAGATGAAGTCTTGCAGTTCTTGCTTCTAAGGAATATTCTGGCTGTGCTTTCTCTAAGATTGATTTGTTCATTCTTCTAGCAGTCCTTGGTATTTTCAGTATTCTTTACCAACACCATAATTCAAATGCATCAATTCTTCTTTGATCTTCCTTTTTTATTGTCCAGCTTTCACATGCATTAAGGCAATTGAAAATACCATGGCTTAGGTCAGGCTAATACCAAGGCTAGTATCAGTATTTTGTAAGAAGTAAAACTACAACTCTCAGAAGGCTCCGGGTAGTGACATGTATAGGAGGCTGCCTGGCTGTATACCCTAGAGGCTAATGGGTAGTGTAGTTTCTTTGATATTAATTTCAGAAATGGTAAAATTCTGTAATTGGCTACTATAGATATTGATCTTCTGAAAAGGGATTGACATCCAGTAGTCTTTGATTTTGCGAAGAGGGTTGGGACCAGGCATTCTACCCAAGCCATGGCACCCATTCTCAGTGGGTGTAAGGTGACAACTACAGTTCCCAACTTCAATTCCTTGTGTTTCTGGAACTTTGCCCTAAAAGCTGATGGGAACTGTAGTTTTTCATTGATATCCTGTAATTTCTATGAAGATAGGAAATGGCTGGGTCCTTGAAAGAGGCTTGAAGGTGGATGGTATATTGTGGGAGAAGCATGGCTTTGGGGATATTTGATCATCCCTAGCTCAGGATGGGATAGAGGAAACAAAGAACTAAAACTCCCAGAAGCCCCCGTGTGGATCGGTTCCCTGTCTGGTTAGCCATTTGCAGGGGCTGATGAGCGTTGTCATTGAGCTTGTGAACATAGCGAGGGATATTGATCAAGAAGGCATTTGGGTGACAGGGTAGCTGGGTCACAAAGGGACCTCACAGAAGAGCTAGTAAAACAAAGAAGTTGCAAGAGGAAGTCTTTTTTTTTTTTTTAAATTTATTCATTCAACCACATTGATCTGAATGAATAAATGAAGGAGTGAAACGTGGGATCTTCTCCCCCAAATCCCAGATATTGTGACCCCCAATGGACTGAATGTGAAGAAATTCTCTGCCATGCACGAGTTCCAGAACCTTCATGCCCAGAGCAAGGCTCGAATCCAGGAGTTTGTTCGGGGCCATTTTTATGGGTATGTAGGCCAGAATCCTAGGTCCTGAGAAAGAAGGGGGCTGGGAGCCCAGATTCCTGGGTCTGTGGGAGGAGGGGACTGAGAGCCCAGCCTCCTGAGTTCTGGAGCAACAAATCAATGGGCTGAATATTGAAAGAAATCTCTACCTTAAAAGAACCACAATTCCCAGGAGACCCCATGATGCCTCCACATTGTCTAAGATGTTCTTTGCCCCAATAACTTCTGGAATCTGTACTTTTAAGGCCAGAGGTGGAGGGTGAGGATCTTGGACCTAACTGTGCCTTGTACCTTTCTTAGGCACCTGGACTTCAACTTGGACAAGACCTTGTACTTCTTTATCGCCGGCCGGTACGAGTTCTCCAACAAGGGGGCCGACGTCTTCCTGGAGGCCTTGGCCAGGCTCAACTATCTTCTTAGAGTAAGACCTGGACTACAAGGAGGCAAAGGGAGGATAAGAAAATCATTACATTACTGCTGGGCAGAATTCTAGAGAAAGGGTGTAATACAGCATCATGAATTGTCTAAATTCACCAGGTGGAGGTCAGCCATACTTCCACTCTCCAACTTCTTCACCATTTCTGACACCAGCTGTTCCCTCACGGCCCTCTCTATTTCTCTGCTGAGTTCTGCTTGGCTGTTGCAACAAATTATTGAATGCTGCAGAGAAGTAGAGAGGGCCGTAGGGTCGTCGGGGGAGAGGCTAGTGTCAGACATAATGGAGAAGTGGGAAGGCGGACATATACCTGACCTCTGTTTCACAGGAACCAGCTTTGTGCTGATCCTGATTCTTATCCCTCATGAATTTAGACAGTTTCTTGCACTAGATTATAGAGAGGGATTCAGAGACCCAGAAGTAGGGGTAGGGAAACTCAATGGGCAGGGCGGGGTGGGTGGGAAAAGACCCAGAAGGAAGGTCAGAGTCCCAGTGGGGAAGGTAACTCTGTCCCACAATTCTTGATGGCAAGGGGCACAGTAGAGAAAAGAGTGGATGGGGTCTGCCCTCTCCCATATGATGCTGACCACCCCCTTCCCTCTGCCCCAGGTGAATGGCAGTGAACAGACAGTGGTCGCCTTCTTCATCATGCCGGCTCGGACCAACAATTTCAATGTGGAAACGCTCAAGGGCCAAGCGGTCCGCAAGCAGCTTTGGTCAGTAGCCCTCAGCCCAGGATCCTGGCTTTGGTCAGCAGCCCTCAGCCCAGGATCCTGGCCTGTGTTACTCTCAGCTGTGTGATTTGGGTCCGGTGTTGCTCCTGGAGTCTCACTTTGATCATCCTTAACATGCTAAACCTGCCCCACTGATTCCTCGTGAAGTCACTTGCTTACGACACCTCCATGGGGGTGGGGGGGGAAGGAGATCAGTAAGAAGTCACAGGTGGGACAAATGTGACAACTGAACAAGGTCTCTGATATCAAACCGGCAAGATTCCGCTCATGCCATCAACCGTCACTGGCTGTGTGACTTTAGGCAATCTACTGCCCCTCTCTGAGCGTTAGTTTTCCCGTCTGTAAACCCCATTCATTCATTAACCATCTGACATTCATCGAGCAAGGCAGTGTGGTTCAGTGGTAGAATTCTCACCTTCCGTGCGGGAGACCCAGGTTCGATTCCCAGCCAAGGCATCTCATGCGCGGCCACCTCCCATCTGTCAGTGGAGGCTTGTGTGTTGCTATGATGCTGAACAGGTTTCAGTGGAGCTTCTAAAGTAAGAGGAACTAGGAAGAAAGTCCTGGCCATCTACTTCTGAAAATCAGCCAACAAAAGCTCTGCATCACAATGTTCCAATCTGCAACTGATCACAGGGATGGTGGAGGACCGGGCAGTGTTTCATTGGGGTCACTGTGAGTCAGGGGTGGACTTGACAGCAGCTAACAACAACAACATTCACGGAGCACCTCCTTTGCGCCAGGCACAATTCCAGGCCCTGGGACCCCAGCTGGGAACAAGAAAGATAAAATCCTTGCCTTCATGGAGCTCATGTGCTTGTTGGGGAAGGCAGACACTAAACAAAATCAGTCAATTTTGCAGAAAGTGCTTTGGCAAAAGAATAAAGCAGGACTGAAATATGAAACAGGGTTGTCAGGACAGGTCACACTGAGAGTGTCATTGGGCAGAGACCTAAAGGAAATGAGGAGTGAGCCCTGTATACACATGTTATTGTTGTGTGCCATTGAGTTGATTCCAACTCATAGCGACCCCATGTGACACAGTAGAACTGCCCCCTTAGGGTTTCCTAGGCTGTAGTGTTTTTAGGAGCACATCACCAGGTCTTTCTCCTGCAGAGCCACTAAGTGGGTTTGAACTGCTGACCTTTCTGTTAGCAGCCAAGCACTTAACTCTTGCACCACCAGGGTACATAGGTGGGGAACAGCATTTCAGGCTGAGGGAACAGCAAATGCAGAGGCCCTGAGGCAGGGTTGCCTGTTTGAGAAACAGCGAGGAGATCAGCGTGATTAGAACAGAGTGCCCGAGGGAGAGAGGGGTAGAAGATGAGGCCAGAGTCACAGGAGGGTTGTGGGCAGAGGAGTGACAGCAGGGACCTAAGATGTCACTATCTGCCAGCCTTACTCATGTGCATAAATATTCCTCTCTCAGAACCTTCTTTGCCTTTTTTATAAAACAGGGCTTAGCATCACCACTTCCTGGGCTGCTACAGGTCCTAAGAATAGCTGACATTTCTAGAAGGCTCACAATGTGCCGGGCACTGTGCACTTTTTATCATGACCTCATTGCATCCTCACCACAAACCTCTGAGGTCAGTTCTAATTTTATCCTCATCTTACGGATGAGTCACTGAAGTCAGAGAGGGACAGCCACCTGCCCCAGGCCACACAGCTGATGTCAGGCATGAGAGACCTGAGCCTTCCAGGGCCTGTTCCCCAAGTCCACCAGACCAGGGCTTCCCAGCTCAGGCCTCAGTTTTCCCTAGCAGTAAATGGCAGGTGGTATTTGTGTGATGTTTTTGCTCTATTCTTTCCAGGGACACGGCCAACACAGTGAAGGAGAAGTTCGGGAGGAAGCTTTATGAGTCTTTGCTGGTGTGAGTGCCTTGCCCTCAACCCTGCACCCTCTTGGGTTCCAACCCCTCTCATCACCTCATTCCAAGATGCATCCCCCCACCCGCCCTGCAGGGGAAGCCTCCCAGACATGAACAAAATGCTGGACAAGGAGGACTTCACGATGATGAAGAGAGCCATCTTTGCCACGCAGGTATGGTTTGGATCCCTAAGCAGAGAGACAGCAATTCCCAGCAGCCCCAGAGGCAGCCTGCCATGCTAGCTTTGCCCTCAGAGGCTACTGGGAGTTCTGCTTTATTGGGTGGCCATGATTGGAGGGTCAATACTGATGCCCACAGAAAGGTGTGAGCTGACTTTGGTAGACCTTCCAATCCCTAGAAGCCCTCAGGGAAGCCTGCTTTCCTGTGTCTTCTTCTGCCACAGAGGCTGCTAGGAGTTTTTGGTTTCTTCGGGTTCCCTGGGGTCAATGGACAAAAGGTGAACGGAACTTTTAGAAAGTCAGGACAGCCACAAAAGGAGAACTGCAACTGTCTTTGGGCCTTGCTGCCCACTGGCTTCATCTCTGCCCCCAGAGACTTCTGGGAGTTGTAGTTTTGTTGGGCCTCTTTTGGGATAGAGCCATGGGTCAGCTAAAATACCCAGTGTTCCCTGGAGAAGAGAACATTGAAAACTCCCAGCAGCCCCTGCGCTTTCTTATTCCACTGGCTGTCATAGCCCCCATACACCCCTGAGAGTTGTAGTTTCTTTAAACTCCTAGGTTAATGGAATTAAGTGGATGGCAAACTTTAAAGAGAAAATTTGGCAGCCCCGGGGACTTTTTATTACAGTGCAGCGTCCCTGACCCCAGAAGCTTCTGGGAGTTAGAGTTATTTTAGCCCCTAGGGTCAAGGGACTTTGGTTCCTGTGGTCAGGGTTGGTGAGCCAGTTCCTGGAGAATGGAAACCCGGATGCCCAACTTGCAAAAAAGAAAAAAAAGGTGTGAATAGTTAATGCACTCAGCTGCTAACCGAAGGTTGGAGGTACAAGTCCACCCAGAGGTACCTCGGAAGAAAGGCCTGGCAGTCTCCTTCCAAAAAATCAGCCATTGAAAACCTTACAGAGCACAGTTCTACTCTGACACACATGGATCTCCATGAGTCAAATCAACTGGATATATTTTCCAATAGTCCCTAAGGCAGCCAGCCTCACTGTGAATGCTTTTACCATGGGGCTGCTGGGAGTTGCAGTTTCTTTGGACCCCAGAGTCAGTAGACTGGAAGGTGACTAAAAATCAAAAACCAACCCTTTGCCTTCAAGTTGATTGTGACTCATGGTGACCCCACGGTGCTGCTGGGTGGATTCGAATCGCCAACCTTTCAGATAGTAGCTGGGAGCAAATCGTTTGTGCCACCCAGGGACCTTGGAAGGTGTATAGAACCTTTCATAAGAGAAATGATGGGACAGTTGCAAAGAACTATACAGTTCCCAGCAGCCCCTGGGATTTCCTATCACTCTAGCTCTGTCTTGCTCCACAGACTCTTGGGAATTGTAGTTTGGGTCTCTGTCGGGGTTGGAGTAGAGGGAATTACAGGACTGAGACTATAGGGAACCTGGAGATGAAGAGATTGGAGGTTATCCTAAGAAAAGTACAACTCCCAGCAGCCTCAGGCTGGCTACCATATTGGCAGTCTTGGCACCCATGGAATGCAGGGAATTTTAGTTCTTTGGGTTTTTTCAGTGACAGAACTGAGAGGACAGAACAAGAGAGTTACAACTCCCAGCAGTCTGTGGGGACTGTTAATACTGTACCTCTGCCTCAAAGATATCTGGGAATAGTCGTTTCTTTTAGGATCTTGGGTGGGTAAGGGACTGAGGTAAAAAAAACTTTACAGATAGAGCCGAGAAGGAAAGCTACAACTCCCAGCAACCTTTTGGGCTTGCTGCCCTACAGCATAGTGGGAATTGTGGTCTCCTTGGACCCCTGGGCTCAAAGCTGGTCAGCAGGCTCATGGGACAGTGGGGAGCCCTCTGTCCCTTCCCTGACCCCTACCCCATATGTGGCCCCTGCAGCGGCAGTCCTTCCCCCCTGTGTGCACCCACAATATGCTGGATGACTCGTCAGACCCTATCCTGACCACCATCCGCCGAATTGGCCTCTTCAATAGCAGTGCTGACAGGGTCAAGGTAAGAGCTCTGGCCAGGGGTGGGTTGGGCACGGCAGGGGGCAGGGGGATCCCAGGCCTCAAACTCCCCACCCCTTTAGTTTATCAAAGGCCTTACCATGTTTCAAAAAGAACCCTGGCCCAAGGCACAACAATTGGTCTCTGTTTGCCTGGAGCAGCAGAGGAAGGAGAGTCAGGAACAGGAGGAGGATGTGGAGTGTGTGGCTAATTGCCTCCATGAACAACTGCCTCCATTGCCATGAGACCAGAAGCACTGGATGGTCCCCAGCTTCCATTACAGAACATTTTGATCAAAGATTCTGTAGAAAAATCCTAATCGAAAGAGGGAAAATGCAAAACAGAATGACAAATTCTCATGGACTCCAGACTTTCTGGAGACATGGAAGCTGGATGAACCCCTGAAACTATTGTTGTTGGGTGCCATCAAGTTGGTTCAAACTCATAGCGACCCTATGTACAACAGAACAAAATGCTGCCCGGTCTTGCGCCATTCTCACAATTGTTGTTATGCTTGAGCCCATTGTTGCAGCCACTGTGTCAATCCATCTTGTGGAGGGTCTTCCTCTTTTTCGCTGACCATGTATTTTACCAAGCATGATGTCCTTCTCCAGGGACTGATCCCTCCTGACAACATGTCCAAAGTACGTAAGACATAATCTCGCCGTCCTTGCTTCTAAGGAGCATTCTGGCTGTACTTCTTCCAAGACGGATTTGTTCGTTCTTTTGGCAGCCCATGGTATATTCAATATTCTTTGCCAGCACCACAACTCAAAGGCGTCAATTCTTCTTTAGTCTTTCTTATTCATCGTCCAGCTTTCGCATGCATATGAGGCAATTGAAAACACCATGGCTTGGGTCAGGCACACCTTAGTCTTCAAGGTGACATCTTTGCTTTTCAACACTATAAAGAGGTCTTTTGCAGCAGATTTGCCCAATGCAATGCATCTTGATTCCCTGACTGCTGCTTCCATGGATGTGGATTGTGGTTTCAAGTAAAATGAAATCCTTGACAACTTCAATCTTTTTGCCATTTATAATTGCTTATTGGTCCAGTTGTGAGGATTTTTGTTTTCTTTATGTTGAGGTGTAATCCATACTGAAGGCTGTGGTCTTTGATGTTCAACAGTAAGTGCTTCAAGTCCTCTTCACTTTCAGCAAGCAAGGTTATGTCATCTGCATATCATAGGCTGTTAATGAGTCTTCCTCCAATCCTGACACCCCTTTCTTCTTCATATAGTTCAGCTTCTCGGATTATTTGCTCAGCATACAGATTGAATACGTATGGTGAAATGATGCAACCCTGACGCACAACTGTCCCAGTGTTAAACCATGCAGTATTCCCTTGTTCTGTTCGAACGACTGCCTCTTGATCTATGTATAGGTTCCTCATGAGCACAATTAAGCATTCTAGAATTCCCATTCTTCGCAGTGTTATCCATAGTTTGTTATGAGCTACACAGTTGAATGCCTTGTGTAGTCAGTAAAACACAGGTAAATATCTTTTTGGTATTCTCTGCTTTCAGCCAGGATCCTGCCCTGAAATAATTTTTAAGCCTTAAACCTTAAACCAAAAATATCCCCCGAAGTCTTCTTTAAACTAAACAATAGTTTAGTTAATTAGTAAAGAATGTCTACCCTGAGCATTATGCTCTTTCAAGATCTGTCTGTATAGGATCAAATTGACAACAGCAGCTCGAAAGATTAGATAGGAACCTTAGGGGGCAGAGAGTTTATGTTAACGGGGGAGGAACAACTCAGAAAAGGAGAGTGAGAATGGTTGCACAACTCAAAGAATGTAATTAATGTCACTGATTGTACATGTAGAAACTGTTGAAGTGGTGTATGTTTTGCTGTGTATATTCTCAACAACAACAACAACAAAATAAATAAAATTAAAAAAAAAAGAACCCTAGCTTCTAAGGCAAACAGGTTTGGGTCCAAATCTTTGCCCCGCCACCAACTTGCTGTGTGACTTTAGACAAGTGTTTTACCCTCTCTGGGCTGCTATGGAACCTCAGGGAGTAGATAAATGGGGTGTTTGGGCTGAGCCCTTCTTTTTCATTGCCAGGTAATTTTCCACCCGGAATTCCTCTCCTCCACGAGCCCCCTGCTCCCTGTGGACTATGAGGAGTTTGTCCGAGGCTGCCACCTAGGAGTTTTCCCCTCTTACTATGAGCCTTGGGGCTATACGCCAGGTGAGTGCAGCAAGTGGGGGAATGGGAGAAAGGGCAGGGAAAGGGCAACATGGCATCAGGGTTCTGGTCAGATCCAGTATGATCTTGGGACAAAGGACTCACCCTCTTTAAGCCCCAGTCTCCTTTGCAAAAGGAGCCGTAGTGGCACAACAGTTAAATGCTCAGCTGCTAACTGAAATGTTGGCAGTTTGAACCCACCCAGCGGCTCTGCAGAAGAAAGACCTGATGATGTGCCCCTGTAAAGATGAAGCCCGTTGCCGCCAAGTTGATTCCGACTTGATTCTCTTATCGACCCTATGGAACAGGAAGCAGACTGCCACATCTTTCTCCCATGGAGCGGCTGGGGGGTTCAAACCACTGACCTTTTGGTTAGCAGCTGAGCACTTAACCACTGCACCACCAGGGATCAACGTAAAGATTACAGCCTAGAAAACCCTAGGGGGCAGTTCCGCGCTGTCACATGGGGTTGCCATGAGTCAAAAATCAACTCAATGGCACCTAATGACTCCTTTATAAAATTGGGACAATAGTAGCAATCTGTTCTGCTACAGAGCATGTTCTGTGTCGTCCAGTAGCTCACGTGATGCTCAGCTAAAGGATTAATGTCAGTCGTAAGTGGATGTCACAGTCACAGTCCGCTGGTGAATTCCCCCAGTTCATTAATGTTTGAAGCCCCCCTCCCCAGGAGTCCCTGGGTGATGCAAACAGTTAAGTGCTCCACCACTAGTGAAAAGGTTGGTGGGTTCGAACCCACCCAGAGGCGCCTCAGAAGACAGGCCTGGCGATCTGTTTCTGAAAGGTCACAGCCTTGAAAACCCTATGGAGCCATTCTACTCTGCACACATGGGGTCGCCATGAGTCAGAATCAACTCGAGGGCAGCTAGCAGCAACAAGTAACAGCAGTCAAATGCTCATGTCGCTAGCACAGCGGAAGGCAGCGAAGTCTCCTCCTGAGCTGTTCTGTCCACTCCACTGTCCTTGGCTCTCTTCAGCAACATGCTCTGAGCCTGAACTGCTTATTTACATTTCTCCCTCCTCTTGGGACATTTTGCCATAGTCCCCAGACTCAATTTGTCCTCATACTCTTTTCAATCAAGCTTCTTTCATTTGTTTTTAAAGCTAAATAAATACTGTATTGCTGTGTTATTGTTAGCTGCTGTCGTATCGGCCCCCGACTCATGGTGACCCCATGCACAACAGAATGAAACACTGCCCGGTCCTGTGCCGTCGTCCCCATGATCATTTGTGGATTGGGCCGTTGTGATCCGTAAGGTTTTCATTGGCTGATTTCCCGAAGTAGATTGCTAGGCCTTCCTTCCTAGTCCATCTTAGTCTAGAAGCTCCGCTGAAGCCTGTTCCTCATTATAGCAACACGCGAGCTTCCACTGACAGACGGGTGGTGGCTGTGCATGTGGTACATTGGCCAGAAATGGAACCGGAGTCTCCTGCATGGAAAATGAGAATTCTGCCACTGAACCACCACTGCCCTCATTTGCTGCTGCTGCTGTTGTTGTTAGCTGCCTTTAAGTCGATTCCAATTCATGGCAACCCCATGTGTGCAGAGGAACTGCTCCATAGGGTTCTCAAGTCTGTGACCTTTCAGAAGCAGATGGCCAGGCCTGTCTGTAGTGTTCCTTAATTTATTACTAGTCTAGCAAGTCTTTTAAACCGTGTTTGTATAATTAAGACTTTTACCAGTTTTGTTTCTGCAGTGGTAACAATGGTGCATAGGCTTTGTGTGGTCTGCTAACCCTGTGTTCCCCACAAGCCCTGATATATTTAGTGCCTGGTTTTGCAGCTTACAGAAGATTTTAGGAATATTTATATAAGAATATTTATGTAAGAATATTTGTATAATAAATTCCTTGCACCATCTCTCAGGGTTGTTTGAGGAATTAAATGAGGCATAGTAGGTGCTCTGAGCACCTCTTCTTACCTCCTATCAAAACAGACTATAAAGCTACCATACCTAAAACAGTATAAACCAAACCAAACCCATTGCCGGATAGTCGAGTTCAACTCATAGCGACCCTATAGGACAGGGTAGAGCTGCCCTAGAGGGTGTCCAAGGAATGGCTGATGGATTCGAACTGCCGACCTTTTGGTTAGCAGCCGTAACTCGTAAAACATTGCACCACCAGGGCTCCAAACAGTATACTTCTGGCAAAAAAAGGTATTTTACAGGTTGTGAGGATTTGGTAACATGATGCACTTGCCTCAGAGTAAATGCTCAATAAATTACTCACTGTCGTCCTTATCACACAATTCGGGGCTATTCCTCATCCTGAGGGCTTTGGCAAGTGAGTTCCCTGTTCTGAGCCTCTTAGCTTCCCCGTTGGGAAAACAGGAAAATAGTAGTGGAATGCACAGCATGGTTGTAATTCGCTCAGCACAGCGCCGGGCACCTTGTAAGGGCGCCAGGAGGTGGCGCTGTTGAGGCTTTTATTACTATTAGGGCTGCAGAGTAAGAGGGTAAAGCTAACGGGTCCTTTCTCACTCTTCCGGCAGCTGAGTGCACCGTTATGGGCATCCCCAGTGTCTCCACCAACCTCTCTGGCTTTGGCTGCTTCATGGAGGAGCACATCGCAGACCCCTCAGCTTATGGTCAGTGCCCAGACCCTCGAGGGTTGGGGACGAGGGGCTGAGAGCCAGGACTCCGGGATACTGGGGAGGAGAAGAGGGATTTTCTCCAGAAGAGAGCTAGGGATGGACTCTTGGGTCTCTGGAAGACAGGGACGGGGGACTGGACTGTAGCGTCCCTGGGGGAGGCGAGGGTCAGGGTACCAGACTCTTAGGTCTCGGGAGGAAAGGCCCTGGTGCCAGCGAGACCTGGGCAGAATGAAGGTCTTCCCAGCCCTTTTCCTGAGCCCTCCGTCTGGCCCCTGCAGGCATCTATATTCTGGACCGGCGGTTCCGCAGCTTGGACGATTCGTGCTCGCAGCTCACCTCCTTCCTCTACAGCTTCTGCCAGCAGAGCCGGCGGCAGCGCATCATCCAGCGGAATCGCACGGAGCGCCTCTCTGACCTTCTGGATTGGAAATACCTAGGCCGGGTATGGCCCCTTTTCCTACTTTGTGCTGGCGAATCAGCTCCTTCCGGCTTCTAGGTTGCTCTCCCTTTAAGAAATTAATCATCTCCTCCAGGAAGACCCCATTGGTTGGGGAGTTCTCATTTGCATAGAGGTGTGGCCAAAGATGGAGCCCTGGTCTCGCAATGGTTAAGCGACCAACAGGTGGGTGGTTCAAACCCATCAGCCGCTCTGCAGGAGAAAGATGTGGCGATCTGCTTCCGTAAAGATTTACATCCTTGGAAACCCTATGGGACAGTTCTACTCTGCCCTATAGGGTGACTATGACTATGAATGGACTCGTCGGCAGTGGGTTTGGTTTGGGTTTGGTGGCCAAAGAGGTACTTGAAAATTCCCTTTCTGAGACGGGGTATGGCTCATAGACTGCCCCTTCTTATGTAGATAAGCAGTGCTCGTCTACATAAAGGGTAGAGCCAAAAGGAGGTAATTTGCATAGAAGGTGCAGCAGTCTGGCCATCTGCATAAGAGGTGTGGCCAGGATCCACCCCTCCCGCCTCTGCCGCGGTGTGGGGCTTGGCTCCTGTCCCCCTGACGCTGGCTCTCCTTGTCCCCGAAGTACTATATGTCCGCGCGCCACATGGCCCTGGCCAAGGCCTTTCCGGATCACTTCACCTACGAACCCCACGAGGCGGATGCGGTGAGTGGACCCAGGTTCTGGTAGGCTGGGAGCTGCAGATGTGGGGTGAGAGGTGCACCTTCTGGAGTCCAGAGGCCTGGGGGGCGCTGGACGCCTGGGCAGGGCTGTCGAGGCCTCTTGTCCCACTCTGCGGTTTGTGCCCACACCCGCTTACACAGACCCAGGGCTACCGCTACCCACGGCCGGCCTCGGTGCCACCATCACCCTCGCTGTCACGACACTCGAGCCCACACCAGAGTGAGGACGAGGAGGAGCCCCGCGACTCACTGCCGGACGAGGACGGCGAGCGCTACGACGAGGAGGAGGAGGCCGCCAAAGACAGGCGCAACATCCGCACCCCCGAATGGCAGCGCCGCGCCTCCTCCGCCTCCTCCACCAGTGGGAGCAAGCGCAGCTCAGTGGACACAGCACCCTCCAGCACTCTCAGCACCCCCAGCGAGCCCCTCAGCCCCGCCAGCTCTCTGGGTGAGGAACGCAACTAGGTCCCAAGCCCCATACTCTGCCCCACCCTCCCAACCCCCTCCTGGCCTGCCTCCCTCTTCTAGAGGGTGGATGCAGAAGGGCGTTGTTCCCAAACCCCACTCCAGATCCCGAACCTTCTGTGGGATCCACAGCCTTGCCACCCATCCACTCGAGCCCCTCCTGCTCCACGCTAGGAGCTAGGAGTCCCCACACTCCAAAATCGACAACACTGTGCCTTTCTCAGGTTCCAGAATGCATACTCTATGCTCCGGAATCCCCCAGACCTGGCCCAGGTCCCAGAGGCCAGGAATCTGCCATTACCCTGTGGTGCCAGAGGTTTTAGAAAACCTGGTCTGTTGCCTTCCATGCTGAGGCTTCTTAGAGCCCTTTATGGCTTGTAAATTCTAGATGTACAGAGCATACAATGCCATAAGCCTGGCCTGGGGGCTACCAAGCATGGTGTTCCTGCTAATGGGACAATCAAGTCTGGAGCCCAGGCCCTTTCAGGGACTTAAGATAATGGAATTCAAAAGGTCTTCCATTTCAACTCCAGAACCTGGGCTCCAGGACAGGGTGCTCATGTGTTTACTCTGGCCCCACCTCACCCAGGGTGTCCAGTTTTGCCTGGAAGTTGCCTCTTCCCCACCCCCACCAGTTAGGTGCAGTGCTCACCCAGCTCCCATCGTCCCCTGCACTTTGGCCAAGCAAGGGGTGGCGGAACCACTTGGCTCCTCATTCCTGCTGGAAAACACACGGACTTGGACTAGACACCTTCCTGGCCTTCCTGGACCAGACCCTACTCCTTCCCTGAGTTTGAGCTCTCCCTCAGGTCTTAAGACTCCTTCAGTGCTCCCCAGGGAATCCCTGCTGCTGAGGACTGAAATGGCCGTCTCCCACCATGAAACCACTGGGTTCTAGGTCCCAGCTGCTGAATCTAGACCCTTTACCACTGTGCTGCACCCTGGTCCCTCTTCCCTGATCGAGAACGGAGCCCACTGGGTTCCGGAACTCCCACATTTACCTTGAGGCTCTTCCATCCCTGAGCTGTGCCCTGCCCCCAGCTTCAGTGACAGGGAGTGGCCCCTCACGTGTGCTGTGTCAGATGCACTGCCGGGTTTGTAATTAGGAGAGGGAAGGCGGAAGGGGAGTGATTGGAGTGTGTCCAGAGATGAAAAAAATACACCTATATTTAAGAATCCCAGGTCTGATCCAACATGGGGGCTTGATGGTCTCTCCTGGCCCCTCCCTCCTCTTGGTTTTAGTCCTGCACCCTGTCCCCTCCTGCTACCCCTGAGTCCCTGCTCCTTTGTCTCATTTAGCTGTCCTGGAGAGACTTGGATTGCTATTCTAGATCCCAGGGTTATTTTTCTGTCTTGCTTAGTTGGGACTTGACCGCAATTGACAGAAGCTTGGCTCAAGCTCTTTTAGGCATAAAGGTTCTATATCACTGGAAGAAAGATCCATAGGCTAGCTACTAGCCAGGTGTGGCTATTTAAATTTAAATCAGTTCTTCAGTGTCACTATTGTGTGCCATTCTGACTCATATCAACTCTGTAGGACAGAGTAGAACTGCTCCATATGGTTTCCAAGGCTGTAATCTTTACAGGAGCAGGTCTCTGGGTCTTTCCTCCCACGGAGTTGCTGGGAGCGTTCAAACTACCGACCTTTCCATTAGCAGTCAAACGCTTAACCATTGCACCACCAGGGCTCCTTTCAATAGCACTAGCCATATACACATGTTCAGTGTGCCCTATTGGACACAGATTTAGAACATTTCCATTGCACTGGACAGAACTGGTTTGGAGCATGCTTTCCAGATTGTGGCTCCCATACTCTCCACTGGACAGCTCTATTTTCAGGAAAAATCTTTGCCTTGTAGTTCTAGTTTTCATTAGGCTTTATGCATATCTGAGGCAATCACTACTCGGGCGTAGGCAGCTCAGATTGGCTGGGCTTGACCCTGTGTGATCATCCCAGATGATCACCCTCACTCCCGGAAATCACAGGAAGGGTGTGGTGCTGAGCACACAAAACAGCAGATGACCATTGACCACTTTCTCTCCTAGATTCCTCTTTTACCAAAAAACGGAAGGGGAATGGGGTCAGCGCTGACACAGCAGTTTTGTAGCTTGGACCCATAAGATAACACATCTCCAGTTCTTGTTTGGAAAATTTGGCCCCTGGTTTCACATCCTATTTCTGTATTGAGCCCCAAACCCCTAGCTCAGCACATTTGCTCATCATGCACCCCCAGCTGCTCAGATCCAAGCTGTTCAGATAGTTACTACCTAGCATGTGCCTTGTATTGGGGCTACTGCAACACTCGAAAGATGGGCCCTGATCTCTGGAACTTACAAAAAATACAAAACCCAAACCTGTTGCTGTCGAGTTGATTTCAACTCATAGCAACCCTACAGGAAAGAGTTTTAACTGCCACATAGTTTCCAAGGAGCGCCTGGTGGATTTGAACTGCTGACCTTTTGGTTAGCAGCACTTACCTACTACACCACCAGGGTTTCCGGAACCTACAAGGATACCTTTATAAATTGAAGAGTGGGGTGTAGCAGCCTTTGGAGCAGGTCAGATCCACGTGTGCCTCCTAGTTACCATCATTTACATAGTTGGTTGCAACTCATGGCAACCCCACGGGTGCATGTGGATTTTCACTACATATGATTTTCAAGGCTGTGACCTTTCAGAAGCAGATCGCCAGGTCTGATCTTCCTGGGCTTCTCTGGGTGGGCTCAAACCACCAACCTTTCAGCAAGCAGCTGAGCAGTTAACTGTTTGCACCATCAATTTCCCCATACAATGGGGATAATTATTCCACCTACACCACAAGGATTGACCCAGCCATAGTTTAAGAGCTTGGCACAGAGCCTGACCCTATAATCCCTCCTTGAGCAACACCTGTTTTTCCTTACCTTTACTCCCTGTTAACAACGCCTGGGCATGCCACCAAACCCCTCCCTGGAGTCTGGGCTCCACCATCAAGGATGAGCAGTTAACAGCTAAGGCAAGTGGAAAACCCAAGCTACCCCACACACAACCCCGCAAGAGGTCCTGCCCTACAATATAAGCTAATGGAAGACGTGGGTTCTCTCTCACTGTCAGTACAGCCCAGAGAAAACGCCTGGGAAAATAGATTCCGACCGATTCTCCACACCATACACACAACACCAGTAGCTGCTGCAAAAAGAAGCTTTATTGTTTACATTTGGTCCAGGCTTGGGAGAGGGCGTGGAGGGTGGGGTTCAGATGCTGATTCAAGGCTGGCGGGAGAAGTTCAGGCAGAAGCCTGATGAGGACAGGAGAATGCAGGAGTCCTCACAGGTCGCTAGGCTCTGGAGGCTCCTAGTCGTGCTTGAGGGTGAGCCTCTCAAAGAGATACTCGCCCAACCCAGCCTGAGGGCTGGCCACTCTGCGGACGTTGGTCAGGTGGTCGCCCATCTTCTTCAGGAGTTTCACCTCCTCATCGAGGAAATGGTTCTCCAGAAAGTCACAGAGCTGAAAAATAAAAAAAGAAAAATTAGAAACGCAGTTCCTGGAAAAGAGAGACAGATGTGGTCCTCAAAAAACAATCTCCCCAAGTAGTCAAGGAGCAGAAGCTTAGACTGAAAGCTTTAATCTCAGAAAAAGTGTGAGAAAGCGTTGCAATGGATGAAAGGAGTACTTACATGAGGGTCTGTGTGGGCAGTAGCCACGGCGTGCAAATCCAGAAGGGCCTGGTTCAGGCTCTTCTCCAGGGCCAAGGCAGCTTCCATGGCGTCCAGGATTCCATTCCACTCCTTTGCGGGCGGCTTCTGTACAAGAAAAAAAACGACTCGGAGCTATTCACACATCTGGCAAAGACCTAAAATCTACATTTCTCAGAATTCCCTGGGGATAAGGGACTTAGCCCACAAGGATGTTTGATCTATCACCTCTAGCTACCTACAACTTTGCCTTCCAGAAGACCACCCAGCATCTTAACCGACCACTATTTGGGGAAAGCGCCTCTACTTCCAGCCAAATATAAAAAGATCGAACTCAATCTCCCAGGAACCCGTGCGGCGCCTACACAGCAACGGTCAAGGCGCCCTGCACGCAAGGCCTAATGGGACATGTAATCCGCTGCCCAAACGCTACTTACCGGCACGTCCTGGAACACTGCGCGGCCGCCACGCTGGTTCTGCAGCTTCAAGAGACGCTCGGCACCCTCGCGTTTCTCCTTCGCCAGCTCGCGGAAGAAATGTTCCACGCCTTCCAACGCCACATCGTCGCGGTCGAAATAGTAGCCCTGCGGTAGATAGAGACAACAAAGCTTAACGGCAGTCGAGACCAAGCGGAAGGACTCCGCCCTCTGACTATCCAACCGGACAAAGAAGGCGCGCGCGTGCGCAGAAGGCTACAGGTGCGCAGTTAGGGAAAACGTGGGCCGCGGGCGTCCCATGGACCCTTACCAGAGAGAGGTAGGTGTAGGAGGCCTTCAGATGCAGGTTAACCAGGAGGTTGACGTTGCCCTCCGCTTCGGAGGAATAATTCTGACGGATCTGAGAGCTCATGGTTGGTCGAAGATTAGGAGCTAACCACAAAAAAAGGTGTTAGCTAGTCCCGGTAACCGGATGGCCGAGAAGATAGTCCTGGAGGTTGCACCTGGAGAGGAGGTTGAAAGGTAGTGCAAGGCTGGAGGTGGGGGAGGAGCGGATCCCTGGGTCTGCTCCGTCCAAACACTGTTGAAGCGAGAGACAGATCCGCAGGAGCAGCTGCCGAGCTTGAAGGGCTGGGGCCTGGTGGCGTATTTTATAGCTTGAGGCCCCCTCGGAGGCGGGGCGTTCAGGGCGATCTATCGGCCAATCCGCGGTAGCGGGAGGCGGGACCTGAGCCCGCGCGTGACCAATGCGGAACAGAGAGGCGCCTTAGCCCCCCACCCCCACCCCAAAGCAAGGGAGTCACGCGCCTGACGCGCGAGGTTGTTACGAAATCGGGATTGAGGGAAGGGAATCGGTTCTTGGCGGGGTCGCGGGGTGCGGGGATCCTGGGGTTTGTTCACAAAGTCGGGGGATTCTGGAAGCATCTCTGGAAGGTGGGAGATTTATGGGGGCATTGGGAGCCCTGGGCGGTGATGATACTGGGATCTTGGAGGTGTTGCAGGGAAGTCAATAGTAGTCTGGGCTTTTCTCTGAAAGCATGGGCTTTTTAGAACCCTAGAACTTCCTGAGAAGTGAAGAAGGGTTTGCTTGTGGAAGATAGGGGTCTCCCGGTCATTGCGAAGTTTGGAAGGCCCCAAAAGAGTATTTCTGGAACCCTGGGGGTCTTGCTGGATTATAGGTTGGCAGAGCTGTTGCCCTGGCGTTTACCCAGAAGTGTAAGGTTTCTCTAGCTTTAGTTTGCTCTGGGAAAACTGTGTTTCTTTGGAGGCCTTTCTTGGAAGCTGGGGAGGTCGCTAGGCCTTTCAGATGAATCTGCAAGTTGGGAAAAGCAGTGGTTCTGGAGCTTTGGGATTCAAGGGATGGGGGTGTTTTTGGAAATCTAGGAGCTTTTATTATTTGAACCCACCCCAGCAGGCAGGTGAAAGATCTGGTGATCTGCTCCCCCTAAAGACTTTTACAGAAAAAAAAAAACCAAACCTATTGCTGTCAAGTCAATTCCAATTCATATGGACCCTGTAGGACAGGGTAGAACTGTCCCATAGGGTTTCCAAGGCTATAATTCCAGAACACTTAATTGTGCTCATGAGGAACCTATACACAGATCAAGAAGCAGTTGTTCTGACAGAATAAGGGTGTACTACGTGGTTTAAAGTCAGGAAAGGTGTGCGTCAGGGTTGCATCCTTTCACCGTACCTGTTTAATCTGTATGCTGAGCAGATAATCTGAGAAGCTGGACTATATGAAGAAGAAAGGGGCATCGGGATTGGAGGAAGACTCATTAACAGCCTGTGATATGCAGTTGACATAACCTTGCTTGCTGAAAGTGAAGAGGACTTGAAGCAGTTACTGGTGAAGATCAAAGACCACAGCCTTCAGTATGGATTACACCTCAACATAAACAAAACAAAAATCCTCACAACTGGACCAATAAGCAACATCATGATAAAGAAAAGATTGAAATTATTAAGGATTTCATTTTACTTGGATCCACAATCAACACCCATGGAAGCAGCAGTCAGGAAATCAAAAGACACATTGCATTGGGCAAATCTGCTGCAAAAGATCTCTTCAAAGTGTTGAGAAGCAAAGATGTCACATTGAAGACTAAGGTGCACCTAACTCAAGCCATGATATTTTTAATTGCATCATATGCATGCGAAAGCTGGATGATGAATAAGAAAGACCAAAGAAGAATTGATGCTTTTGAATTATGGTGTTGTTGAAGAATATTGAATATACCACAGACTGCCAAAAGAACGAACACATCTGTCTTGAAAGAAGTGCAACCAGAACGCTCCTTAGATGAAAGCATGGGGAGACTACGTTTTACATACTTTGGACGTGTTGTCAGGAGGGATCAGTCCCTGGAGAAGGACATCACGCTTGGTAAAGTAGAGGGTCAGCAAAGAAGAGGAAGACCCTCAACGAGATGGATTGACACAGTAGCTGCAACAATGGGCTCAAGCAACAGTGGGCTCAACGATTGTGAGCATGGCACAGGACCGGGCAGTGTTTTGTTCTGTGGTGCATAGGGTCGCTATGACTTGACAGCACCTAACAACGACAACAGTCCTTATGGAAGCAGATCGCCAGGTCTTTCTCCTATGGGGTGACTAGTGGGTTCGAACTGCCAGCCTTTCATTTAGGAGGCGAGCACTTTAACCACTGTGCCACCAGGGCTCCTTTCCTTGTAAAGATTACAGCCAAGAAAATCCTATGGGGCAGTTCTACTCTGCCACAAAGATTCACTATGAGTTGAAATCGACTCAATGGCACCTAACAACAGCAACGGACTTTTTGAGAGGTAGGGGGACTCAGGAACGCTAGAGAGCCCTGGGAGCACTGGAAAAATTGTCTGGGTCTTCAGGATACCTTGGGGCTATTTCAAGGCATGGTGAGATTAGTCTCACATATTTTGGACAAGTTATCAGGCGGATCAGTCCCTGGAGAAGAACATCATGCTTGGTAAAGTAGATGATCAGTGCAAAAGAGGAGGACCCTCAACAAGATGGATTGACACAGTGGCTGCAACAATGAGCTTAAGGATGGCCCAGGACCTGGCAATGTTTTGTTCTGTTGTACGTAGGGTCACTATGAGTCGGAACTGACTCAACAGCACCTAACGACACAACAATAGTGTTTTTCTGGGAGCTGAGATTGGGGTATGTATGAAATAGCATTAGAGCCTTGTAGGTCTCTCAGGCTGCATTTCCTGGGAACTATTTTGGAGGCTTGGAGGCCTGGTGGCTCACTGGTTAAGTACTCAACGGCTAACTAAAAGGTCTGCAGTTGGAACCCACCAGCCCACTCCTCGGGAGAAAGATGTGGCAGTTAGCTTCCACAAAGATTACAGCCTTGGAAGCCCTATGGAGCAGTTCTTCTCTGTCTTCTAGGGTCACTATGAGCTGGAATCGACTCGACAGCATTGGTTTTTTTTATTTTAGAGGCAGCCTAAAGACTGTGGGAATTCTCTTTGGTCCCAAAGCGATCTTTTGGAGGTAGTTGGGTGTCCTCCCCAATATGTGCTCCTTCAGGATCTCTAGGGAAACCAGGAGGGGGGTCTGGGGACCAAGGAGGAGACT